GTTGTTTCCCAGGATAACGGAGGCAGGCACTGTGCTGGAGGCATTGTCATTTCCATAGCTCTGAGATTCTGAGTAATGGAATTTTGCCATCTGGGTCCAAGGCGACATTGGTCAAGGTGGGTGTGATATTGGTTGAATTTGCCTGGTACGTGTCCCTCAGGGCAATGTAAGGATAATCTGTGATCACCAGTGTGAGAATTCTATAGGATGAAATGTGTGTATGTATGTATACACAATTTAAATACATGTTCTATGTGTGTGTTGGCAACAGGGCAACGTCAAGTTTAGCCATCAGGAAAAAAAAAAGAGAAGCTGTCCAAAAAGTACACCATTGCCTTCTAAAGAAGAAATTGTCAGTCGGTCAGTCAGAGTTGTTTTCAGTCATATCTGACTCATTATGACCCTATTTGGGGTTTTCTTGGCAGAGATATTGGAGTGGTTTCATCAGTTTTAATAGTTATATTTATTATTCTAATGAAAAGCAAATTGTGGAAAAGTCACACCTGTCATAATAATGTCCACTAGAACCTAAGTCTTGCAATAAATGTAACAATAATAATAGAATTTATTAAATACTTACTGTGTTCCAGGCACTGTGTTAAGTATTTAATAAACATCTCATTTGATAACAATAATAATAATAATAATAGCTAACATTTATATAGTACTACTATGTGCCGAGCATTGTCCTAAGTGCTTTACAAATATTATCTAATTTGATTCTCACAATAACTCTGGGAGGGAAGTGTTACTATTATCCTCATTTTACAGATGAGGAAACTGAGGTGAACAGAGGTTAAGTGAATTGTTCAGGGTCATACAGCTATAAGTGTCTAGACCCGATTTGAACTCAGATCTTCCTCACTCCAGGTCCATAGCTCTACCCACTGTGCCACATAGATGGTTTTATATCAGAGACTTTAGATATCTGTTCCCATTTGGCAAACAGTACTACAAGTTCTCTTCTTTGGAGTGATAAGTAAACCTACGTCATATACCCAGTTCCTGCTGCCTTCTCTAGGGATGAATATTTGAGAATAATTTCAATTGCTATCATTCATATAGGCAACTCTAAAGTGGAATTCACCACAGATTTCATCATAAAACCTATTCTGATACAAAATCCATGTGGGCTCTGAAGTAACACAAACCACAACTGAGGTCTATCCCATCCTCCACAAAGGTAGCCAAAGTGATGTTCTTAACTTTCCTATCACCATTAGTACCAAAAACAAACTCTTCTTTTTGGCACTGAAGGCCCCTTCACAACACAGATTCAGACTGCCTTTCTAGTCATGTTATACATTGTTTTCTCTAATGCACACTATGATCTAGCCAATGTGGCTTTCTCTCTGTTTCTCACATATAACCCATATCACATCTCAATGCTTTACATAAGCTGTCCCCCACACCTGGAGTACCCTCACTCCTCACCTCTATCTCTTGGAGTCCATAGCTTCTTTTCAAAGCTCATTGTAGACACTGCCTCCTATAGAAGCCTTTCCATATCCTCCACAGCTGGTAGTGCCTCACTGTTCTATATCAGTGCCCAAGCATCTAATCACTAATAAAAGGATTGGACAAGACAGCAGCAAGGACAGCGACCCACCTTTGAAAGTTATCTTGTATTTATACATATATACACACACATAGAACATGTATTTAAATTGTGTATACATACATACACACATTTCATCCTATAGAATGTTATCTCCTTAGAAATAAGGACTATTTCATTTATGCCTTTGTATCCCCAGCACCAGTTCTGTGCCTAGCATACAGCAAACACTTAATAAATGTTTGTCAATTGGTTGGTTGATATAAACAATTGTGAAAGGACTCACTTAGCAAAAAGACAACAAAAGGGGAAAACAATTCAGAACCAGATACCACAGCTGCACCCTACCACTTCCTCTTCTCAAATGGTCACTCCCTTGCCTTCATTTCTCTCATTTTTGTTCCATTCTTTCTCATCATCATTTATATGCTGGTCCAAAGAAATTTACACAGACTTTGTTTCCATAATGTATTTTCCAGTGCAATCAGTCACCTCTCAATTCATTTGCTCCTGACCATGTGACTAAGAATGGCCCATGAGAATTTTCAGGGCAGAGACCAGAGTACCACCTCCATTCTCTTGAGATTCCATACCCAGCAATACTCCCATTCCCCCACAATACTTACAAGACCTCTGAAAGGGATCAAACAAGAAGGAATTTCTTCAGCTTTACAGGGAAAATTAACTAAAATATCCTCCTTCAAATGTAACTTTAAGACAAGAATGGGAGTAGCTAACACCAAAAACTCATATAATCTGGCTTAGAAATCTCTAATGGGCAGTTGGGTGGTGCAGTGAATAAACTGCCAGGCCTAGAGTCAGGAAGACATCTCTTCAGGAGTTCAAATCTAGCCTCAGACACTTACTAGCTGTGTGACCCAGGGCAAGTCACTTAACTCCGTTTGTCTCAGTTTCCTCATCTGTAAAACAAACTAGAGAAGAAAATGACTTTTCCACAATTTGCTTTTCATTAGAATAATAAATATAACTATTAAAACTGATGAAATTGAACATGTAGATTATCTCTAGAACATTCTTTTAAAACTTTTAGGTACATTTTAGTGCCTTATTAATCAGAGTTTAAACTAATGCTATTCTTTACTGATTTATTAAAAAAAATTTATTGTATATCTGCTATGTACAGAACTCCTAACATTCTAATAGGTAGGTTAGAGGAATGCTATACGTACAATTTACTTAAGTCTCAGCAAAGCATTTCACAAAGGCTCACCTGCCAGTCTTATGGACAACATGAAAAGATGTGGGTAAGACAGTAATAGTTCAGTTAGCTGGCTTTGGAACTAGCTGAATCATTGGACCTGAGAACTTAGTCAGCTCTATACCCTGAAGACATTTAGACTTTTTAAACAATACAGGTAAGCAGATTTTTTTTCCTGGTCTTTTGTTTGTTTTTTGATACAGACTAGTTTCATTATATTCTATGACTTGAATAGACCTTCTCAAAAGAATATCTAGTTCTAGAAATTCAAGGATTTGTTTACTGTTATACAGATGATGGAATCCAAATACTTTTCTTGGAACTGTTAGCTCACACACTCACTCTGGTGTGAGCCATTGGTAGATTGAGCTTTTTTTTAATCTTTTATTTTTTTTCCAATTACATGTAAAAACATTTTTGACATTAGTTTTTAAATTTTTTGAGTTCCAAATCGTCTCCCACCCCTCTCTCTCCCTCCCTCTCTCCTCCACCCCTAGGACATCAAGCAATTTGATATAGGTTATACATGTGCAGTCATGCAAAATATATTTCCGGATTAGTCATGTTGGAAAGAAAACACACACCCCCCACCCCCAAATAAAAACACCAAGAAAAATAAAGCAAAAAAAAAAAGAAATATACTTCATACTGCACTCAGACTCCATTAGTTCTTTCTTTGGATGGATAGCATTTTTCATCATGAGTCCTTTGGAATTGTCTTAGATCTTTGTATTGCTGAGAAGAGCTGAGTCATTCATAATTGATCACTGCACAGTATTATTTTAACCGCATACAATGTTCTCTTGGTTCTGCTCACTTCACTTTGTATCAATTCATGTAAGTTTTTCCAGGTTTTTCTAAAAGCATCCTGCTTGTCATTTCTTATATGACAACAGTATTCCATAACAGATGGATAGAGCTTCTGATGTGGTGTATTGGGAAAAAGTATATCTCTATCTAATCTATCTGTATCTATGTCTTTGACTAAATGTTTTAAACACTACCATGACTTTATAGGTGAACTCTTACCATATCTTCTCAAACATAGTCTTTTTTCTTGGAGGGGGTGTAAGTATGGAAAATTGTCTCAGGGAAAAGTGCTCATGTAGCATTGAAGGAATCAAATACTTTTTCCATATTATTTTTCTTGTCACAGGATTTTATTCGAGTCAGTTAAGTTGGCAGATTTATGTATAGAGAGCAAAGACTAGGTTACAAGGGAGAGTATTCTTTCAGAGAAATCTCCTAAATCTTACCAAGTCCTATGTCAGCTTATCGAAAGAGTCTGATGGTGGGGTGTCGTCAGGTATATTACATCCTCCTTTTTTTGTTGTCTAGTCATTTTAGTTATGTCTGACCCTTTATGAGCCCATTTGGGATTTACTTGGCAGAGATACTGGAGTGGTTTGCCATTTGCTTCTCCAGCTCATTTTACAGATGAAGAAATTGAGGCAAACAAGGTAAAATGACTTGCCTAGGGTCACACAGTTAGTAAGGGTCTGAGGAACTCAGGAAGATGCATCTTCTTGACTTCAAGCCCAGAACTGTGTCACCTAGTTGCCCCGCATCCTGCCTGCTTTGACAGCTAAGCTCTGTAGAACTAAAGAATCTTAGGTATTACAATGGTAACCCCAAAGGAATGGAATAGAAGAAAGGAAATTTAGAAATAGGGTTGGGGTAAGAACTTCCAGAGAAGTAAACAATCAATGATTTTGGGGGCTCCATTCTTTACAAAGTAGAGAATTGTTATACAGATTGTGGATGCTTTGTGCTTCAGTATCAGGCAATACCGCTGTGTCTTTCTCATCCAGGTTCCACTACAAATAGAGAGAGCCTCATGTACTGCATCACAAACACATCTTTGCTTTGGTTATTGCCCCAACTTGCTGATCAGTGACTTCCTTCAAGATAACTGGTGGTGTTGCCAGTCCATTTAAGGTGACATGGGAGATTTGCAGATACTGCACAGTCCCTGAAGTTCAGAGAAACACTGACACGTTGGAGGAAGAAAACAAATGGCACACACTTCCTCTCTGAGGCAGGGAAGTTTCAGCTTGTTGTTTTTGCAAAACTTCTAGCTATTTATTTAGGGCTTGGTTCAGCAGAATTCATGGACTAATCAAGGACTGGGCACGTTGTGTCTTCTTGTATTCCTCCCTGTCTGTTCTTGGGGAAATGATTTTTTGATCTTCTGTAAAATGGGAGTGAGGTAATTCGTTTTTCCTAAGGTAGACACAAAAATATGTTCCAAGCACCTTGAGATCTATTGATATAAGAAGCAGATCACATATCAGTATATTCTGTGAACTTTGAAGTGCATCATATTCACAGAGATAAATTGGGTGGGGAAACTGGAAAACTGAGCCAAGGTAATATATTCAGAAGATGAGTGATTTAGAGCATTTTACTAGCCTTTGAAGTTTTTCAGCAGTATAGAAACAATAAAGTTTGGCACCTAATTAGTAAGAATAATTATTTAAAAGAGAAAATTAGCAACTGTGTTGAGCTCTTTTGATGATCCACCCTATTTCTCTTCTCCCTACAAGGTGACCTTATGTCAGTATCATTCTCCATCTCCTCCTTTTCCTCCTCCCCTTCCCTTCCCTTCCCTTCCCTTCCCTTCCCTTCCCTTCCCTTCCCTTCCCTTCCCTTCCCTTCCCTTCCCTTCCCTTCCCTTCCCCTTCCCTTCCCTTCCTTCCCTTCCCTTCCCTTCCCTTCCCTGCCCTGCCCTTCCCTGCCCTGCCCTGCCCTGCCCTGCCCTGCCCTGCCCTGCCCTGCCCTGCCCTTCTCTTTCTTCTCTCTCTCTCTCTCTCTCTCTCTCTCTCTCTCTCTCTCTCTCTCTCTCTCTCTCTCTCTCTCTCTCTCTCTTTCTTTTTCCCTCTCCCCTCCCATCTATGGAGCAGTGTCTTTCCCTCTACTCGCCACCCTCTTGTTTGTCATGCTGTTTGCTCCAGGTACAAAAATTCCTAGTTATAGCTCTGCATATACAGTAACTTAATGATTGTGATAAAGATGGAAGAGTGTTGCAAAGATGTTAAATAAGTATAAGAAGACCTCAGATGATATTTGAAAAGGCAGATTTTGTACTGTGAAATCCTCCATACTCTAGTGGAAAGAATACTGGGTTAGATAGAAGTCAAGAGACTCAACTCAAAGACTCTGATAAGAGCTTTGCTACTTAGTAGTTGTGTGATTGTGGGCAAATCACATAATCTCTCTGGGACTCAGTTTTTTTTTTAATCATTAAAATCAAGTTAGTTACTCTATACCATCTGCCTCATAGATAAACAAGTTAAATGACTCCTGTTTTTCAGAAGACAAATAATTTCATAAGAAAATATGGTGGGATACAATAAAAGGGTCCAATAAGGTGATAAGATGATTTATAGGACCCTTTCCAATCTGTGATTCCAAGATATCGGGGTTTCCTCAGCTTCTTACTTGTGGTGTCATAATGTATTTTGATAATTAAGAGCATTGATTCTCTATCCTCACCCTGATTCCTTAACTGCAGTCCTTACAATGATTCCAGCAAGATTTCCAGCAAGATTTTCATTCATTTAACAAAAACTCATAGATTTAGAGCCAGAAGGGACACTAAAGGTCATTTAATCCACCTTTCTCATTTTTAAAGATGAGGAATCTCTATGTCTCTCTGTCTCTTTCTCTCTGCCTCTCCCCCCATCTCTCTCTCTTCTTGCATAGCTAATAAATATCAGAAGTAGAATTTGAACTACGGTCTGATACTCCATCTATAACACAACCAATATTTTCTGATATCTATCATTGCATTTTTTTCTTCTTCTTATACTGGTTTCCCTAGCTTACCCAGGCTGCAAGTGCGCTGTCAACTCACAGTCCGATCCCACTGGTGAACAGCCCGTAAACTTTAATCTGCTGTGATTCTGGGATGATCCTCTCCTACTGAGGCAACGTGGTCCCTTCTCTAAGGGACTTACTGTACCGATACTAGACCTAATTTAGACACATGGTTAACTTTAAGCCCTGATGCAACTCAGAACCTATAAGCCCAAATGATCTACTAGCCTCTGCTTTCCCCAGTAGCAGGGATGACAAGTGTATACCACCACACTCAGCTAAATGGTTTGCTTTCATGTCACCATCATTTCCCATGTACCTTTCTTCCTTCCTCAAGAGTCATCCCTTATAACGAAGAATAAAAATAATTGAAAAAGACTAACATTATGTGCAAGTATTCCACATCCATGGTCATTGGCCTTTGCAAAGAATTCAGGGAAGTGCCTTCTCAGGGTGGGCTTTTTGTTCAAAAAGAAAAAAAAATAAAGTTCTGAGAGGCAGAGAGAAGATGGGGATGGGTAGTCAGTTATTTGTTCTTTCTACCTTTATTTCTCTCCTCTCTTTTTGCCTCTCACTGATGACATTCCAGGCTATTTGCCTGTCATCCTGAAGTCAATCAGCTTTTTGACTCTCTATGGGTTTTGTTCGGTACTACTGAATGAGTGATCCAGAGAGGAAAAAGCAATAATAATACCAAATAAGGTAGAATGAAAGGAGGGGGTGGGGAAGCACTTGAAAAGAGGAATGTCTCTATAAAACAGGGACACTTGGCAGTAGAGCCAGTGAAAAATGATACCAATTATATAAAGCAAAATGCCACCCATCAAGCAGAACATTTTAATTCTCACTATTCTCAGCTATTTATTACTTTTTGTACAAGACTCAATACATGTCTCTCAAAATAAAATAAAATAAAATAAACCCTTTACATCCACCTCTTCGCCTCTCCCCAACCTCTCTTAGGTAGGAAGAGACCCTCTATTGAGAACAAAAATAAGAAACCACTTCTCATATATCATTGTAAGTTTACAAGGGCTATAATCTAATTTCAGCACATGAACTTGTACCGGGCATTTCCAGGTTCAATTTCACTTCACTCTTCAGTCCCTGTTTTGACTGTTGGAGAAGAAAAAGGAGGGAGTGATTCATGGCGTCAAAGATTTTGCACTTGATTTTAATTTTCTGGTGTCTTCCAAATCCCACAAGTGTACCTTGTGTTACTGACACACCTAAACTCCTCTGACTTTTGTTGGAAAACCATATTAAAAAAATTTTTTTAATGACCTTGTCTTTTCCAGGACTCCTTTCCCCTCCAGGTCTGTCGTAGATGGTCCAGAGCTTACAGCTGGATTCCCGAAGGTCGGCCACAAGATGGCGACAACGTCACAGTGGAGAGCGGCCAAACGCTGCTACTTGACATCACTACTAGTGTCCTCAGAATGCTGCATATTAAAGGTCTGTAGAGTTGGAGGGCTGATGGTCCTTTTATGATTTTAATTTTCTTCAAGTGGGCCAGGGGGTGGGAGTTACTTATTTTTTTAAGTTGAAGGACTTGATTGAATTCTTCCTTCAATGCATATGGTCAAGAGTGTGTGGGTAAAGGGGGAAGAGGGACAGCCTGCCTTTTGATGCCAGGGATGAGGTCCCAGGGGCATCAAAGTTGGGAACCCCTTTTTCCTGAGTCTTTGGAGCCCAGCACCTCTTTAATTTTTCTTTTCAAGGACAAGAAAATCAATGTGGGCAGCATCCTTAAAGGGTGTCATTGTTTTCCAGAACACTCTTTAGACATGCCTGTCCTGGATGGCTCCCACAACATAGCCAGAGACCCTAAAATTAGTTAGTTTTTCTGCCTTTGAAATTCTCTGCCAAGAGAATTTCCTCCTTCCAACTTCCTCCTGCTTTTAACCCTGTTGAGGTTTTGATTTCTTGATCCCATGAAAAGGCAAATAAGTATGCTTCCTTATTACAAAATGAGCAGCAGGCTAGAAACTTGGAAGAGAATAAGGATACAAGGTTGAGCTCAGTCACTGGCTCTCCTACAGCCTTTAGAAGTGATTTTTTTCCTCTCTGTGCCTCAGTTTTCTCATCTCAGTTAAGTAAGTATAAATATCTCTTCCTGCTGTGATGAAGAATAGTCATTCAAAGTGACTTGAGTCAATTCAATTCCATTTGTGTCAGCAAACATTTTTTAAGGGCCCATTCTGTGCTAGGTACTGGGTTAGGCTCTAGAGATACAGTGACAACATTAAACCAGTGCCTGCCTTCAGGGACCTTACATTCTTTATGGAATACTGGCAGATAAAAAAACATGTTTGGGAAATTTGATTAATTATGGAAGCATGATAAAACTTTGCACACAGGTGTAAAGTTTTAATATACCCATATATAGTAATTATAAAAATATTTGCATCCTGTATAGTATGTAAAGCTGTAGTCATCTCTAAAAGATTTAGCTGTGACCTATATGGGCACGACATTTTTATCAATCTATGTCTTTAAAGCATTCTTAAATTCTTCTCAAGAAGACTTTTTCAGCCAAACTGGTTAATTAGGCCTCATTAGGACAACCAAAGTAATCTGCCATCTTGGGCTCTGGCCCCTCCTCTTTTTGTAGGCCTCTGCATATGTATAGCCAGTGGCTTAGGGAGTCTTGCCTTGTTAACAGCTGCCCACCGCCTAGAGGTTGTAGATGATAGAGTTAAGTGACCCCCTGGAAACTGCAGTTCAGAGAAAAGAAAGTCTGTAGAGACCCTTAGCCACAGGGCTCTTCCTTTTACAGAAGTATAATCCCTCCAAGGGCCATGGGTGTCTTCAGGGGTTCAAGCATCTCTGGATTGTATTCAGAGAACCATTTAGGGGAAATTTTTCAATAAAAAGTTGCCTAGTCATGTCCCAATTTGACAACTAACTTCAGACAAAGTGAAAAAAGGAATCGAATTTGTGTGTGTGTGTGTGTGTGTGTGTGTGTGTGTGTGTGTATGAGAGAGAGAGAGAGAGAGAGAGACAGACAGAGAGACACAGAGATAGAGATAGAGACACACAAACACACAGAAGACAGGAATAAGAAAAAATGCAAAAAAGTGCATGGGTGAGGAACCGGGGAAATTTTGAAAAGAACTGGAATTTGCCTTTGTCTCCTGACTCTTCAATTTCAAGTTCAGAGGTAAATGAAATGCTCAACTCAAAAGGAACAAGTTGGAAGGAATGCAAAAAGGGGTGGAGGAAACTGGAATAGGTAGAAACCTGATAGGGGAATGTAAAGAACATAACTCTCAAGATTTCATTACAGAGGTAGGTGGAATCATGGTATCATGGTCATTGCTCTCTTGGAAAGAAGTGTGCGGTTTAATTCAGTCCTCAGTAAATGGTCAGAATTGTGCCAGGCACTGAGGACGATACAAGAGAAGTACCCTGCCCTCAGGTAGCTTACGTTATCATCGGAGAAGGCGAGACACACAAAGAATGGTGTTTGTAAAGAAATCTACGACACAGTTAATATTCAAGTGCCTCTGTGTGTGGCACAGAAGATAAATGCTAATAGTAATAATGATAACTAATATTTATTTGGTGCTTTAAAGTTTGCAAAGTGCTTTGTAGATATTATATCATTTTGTACTCACAACAACCTTGGCAGGTAGGTGCTATTATTATCCCCATTTTACAGATGAGAAAACTGGGGCAGACAGAGGTTAAATGACTTTGCCTGTCCTCACACAGTTAGTAAATGTCAGAATCCAAAGTTTAAGTCAGGTCTTCTCGATTCAGGGTCTGGCTCTCTCTATATTATGCCAACTAGTTGTCCTTTGCCTAACTATAGGAAGGTGGACAGACTTGAGTTAGACCTTGAAAGATTCTTAGGATTTGGACAGATAAAGAGGCAACAGCAAAGCAGAGAATCATAGGGTGCAGGTAGCCAGGTAGTTTGTTTAGAATGTTGGACTTGGTGGAAGGAAGATTTGAACTCTGATTCTGCCTCCTGCGCTGACTAGCTGTGTGACCCTGGGCAAGTCACTTAATCTGTTTTTCAACAGTAAAAATAAGGATAATAACAAGACCTACTTCACAGAGTTGTTATGGGGATCAGCTGAGATAATACATGTAAAATACTTTCCAAGCTTTAAAACACTATGTAAATGTTAGTTATTATGATTATTAGTTATTATTCTAGAAGAGAGCTTATATATCATGGAGAAGATAGGTGGCTCAATGGATAGAGCATTAGACTTGGAGTTAGCAAGACCTGAGTTCAAGTGTGACTTCAGACACTTACTAGTTGTGTGACCCTGGGCAAGTCATGTAACCTCTGCCTCAGTTTCCTCAATTATAAAATGGTGTTGATAATGATAACACCCACCTTCCAGTATTATTATGAGGATTAAATGAAATAATATTTGTAAAGAGATTAGCACAGTGCTTGCCATATGGTAAACACTATATAAATATTAGCTATTTATTGTTATTATTATTTACTCCAGCCCTTTCATTTTACAGAGGAGGAAACCAAGAGTGATTTACCTGAAGTCACACAACTAAGAAGCAAGAGTTGAGATTTGAATCCTGGTTGTCAGACTCTGAATCCATTATTTTTTCTACTATACCATGGTGCTTCCCCTACGTTGTGTGTGTGTGTGTGTGTGTGTGTGTGTGTGTGCGTGCACCTGCACAGAATATACAAAAAGAACAAATAATACAAGAAAAATATATTTCCTAGATCAGATTGACTTAAATACTCTAGTTTTAGAGATACCTACAGCATTTTTTATAATTATAAGATATAGTGATGGAAAGAACTCTCAAGGTCATATCACCCGTTGTCCTGTTTCTAAGCAGGAATTCGGGTGAGCCATTCCAGATACACAGCTACCTGTTGTCTTATTCTTAAAGATTCTATACCTTTCCTTCATCTCCCAATCCTGATAATCCTTCCAGCTTTTCCTTAATTTGAAGCTGTTGTGTTTAAACTCACTTCCCTTGTTCTAATCCAAAATTTACTCTGTCACCATCATAGCTGGTCACGTATTTGAAGAGTCTTGTTACTCATGTGGTCACTGGTCAGCCTTCTGTTCTTTAGGCTGAGCATTAGCCTTCTTTAGGCTCGATATTAGTTACATTATTTCCCTTCAAGGTCCATCTGCTCAGACCTTTGACCATTTTAGTTATTCCCCTGATAAACAGGGCTGTTATACAGCCTGGCGAGGGTCGCAGAGGCGGGAGAACTTAAAATGGACTTCAGTTTAGTTCATTTATTAAGTAATATAGTCTCCTACATGCCAGGCTTTCTGCTAGACAGAGAGTGCCTGCTCTCAAGCAGCTTACATTCTGTTGAAGGGAAACAGTAAGAACACAGATAAGTCAATGGAAAGGAAATGCAAAGTAATTTCAGTAGGGTGGAATAGGAGTCAGCACTAACAACTGGGGAAATCCATAAAGGCTTTTTGCAAAAGGAAACACGGGGCAGTACTTGGCTCAGTGGATAGAATGCCAGGCCTGGAGTCAGAAAGACTCATATTCCTGAGTTCAAATCTCAGCCAGCTTCAGATACTTCCTAGCTGTGTGACTCTGGGCAAGTCACTTAACCATGTTTGTCTCAGTTTCCTCATCGGTAAAATGATCTGGAGAAGGAAATGGCAAGCCACTCCAGGTTCTTTGCCATGAAAATACTAAAAGGAGTTGGATGTGATGAAAAATGACCAAACAACAACAAGAGGAGTAATTGAGCTAGACCTCAATAGGAACTATGGATTTCAAGAGATGAAGGTGACATGGGGAGAAGATTCTATGTGGGAGCCCCTCTGTGCAAAGGCACTGTCACAATTAGCAGAGTGGGAGATTGAATGAATGTCATATATGCATAGGAAGTACAAGAAAATCTAGGGATTTAAGTGGGATGGCTCTGCAGAGGCATTTTTGAAATTTAACTAGCCTGATGCCATGACAATGTTTGGTAATAAAAATTGTGTCTGGCATTCATGTACTTCTGGGTGATGATGTTCATGGCAGAGGCACAAAGTTGAGAGAATGGAGGAAGTGGCAGGTACTCATTTCCATTCCTATTATTTGGACTAGACCCTTTATTTTGTTGGGGTAAGGAACTCCAAATGAGGAAAATTTCTCTGCAAATTTGTGGTTGTTCGGTCACTCCGGTGACATCTTACTCTCTCTGACCTCATTTGGGGTTTTCTTGGCAGACCTGGTGGAGTGGTTTGCCTTTTCCTTCTCCAGTTCATTTTACAGATGAGGAAACCGAGGCAACAGGGTGAAGTGACTTGCCTGGGGTCACATAGCTACTAAGTGTCTGAGGCCAGGTTTGAACTCAGGAAAGTGAATCTTCCTGACTCCAGGTCCACTGCAGCACCTAGCTGCTTAATGTTTATTAAGCACTTAGTATATGCAAGCCACTGTGCTAAGCACTTTACAAATATTATCTCATTTGCTCTTGGGAGGTAGGCACTATC